TCGCAAAGTGATTTTTATTTAGTTAATTATAGAATTTCCTATATAATCTTTTAATAAGGCTTTTGTAACCAACTTGCGAAGGTTTATGTATGGAAAGGCTATACATGAACAACCAGAAGTCCCCGCACCACATACATTTCGTCATCAGCATTCAAAATCTTGTTTTCAGTTTTTTTCGCGCTGTTACTGCAAACAATCTGGAACGATATCTGTCAATTGCACTTGAAGAACATGTTCACAAACACAGATGTGACCATTATGTTCGTGAGACCAAATTTTGCAACAACATTTTTTGACAGATTAATTTTCCCTTCCATCTGACAATCCCTTCATTAAAAGTCTCCGTCTTGAAAACTCACCTTACGCTGCGTTTTAAGAATACAAAACAGATGAACCATCGAGTATTGTGACAGTTGTAAAGCATTGCCATTTGTTTCTGTTGTACGGGCTTTCGCACCAGTAAGTCCGTGTTGCTTGGGAATTAAGTCACAAAAGAAGCTGTATACTATTGATCACTGTCATGTATCAATAGAAACTTCAAGTAATTCCTAGTAATTCCGCGTGGAAGGAATTCCGGGAATTCCGTCAAAGAAGAAGCTGTATAGTATTGATCATTGTCATGGATCAATGGATACTTCAAGTAATTCCTGAATTCCTAGTAATTCCTAGTTATTCCCGGGAATTCCGAGGAATTCCGCGTGGAAGTAATTCCGGGAATTCCGTCAAAGAAGAAGCTGTATAGTATTGATCACTGTCATGTATCAATAGATACTTCGAGTAATTCCTAGTTATTCCGGGGAATTCCGCGGGGAAGGAATTCCGGGAATTCCGTTAGTACGGAATTATTTGGAACTGGTTCCTGGTCGGGAACTGATTCCGCAATGATCAACATCGCGGAATAGGATGTATTCTCCTAATATTACGCATAAATATTTGACTTCGTTCAGTAATAGTATTGATTGACCGGGAATTCTGATTATGAGAGATGCTTTAATTTTTCTTCTTGGATGTTTTGCGAAGTGAATTAACTTTGTTTCTGGTGCTTGTATTTTCAGTTTCCAGAACGTATACCGGCCCATGAATATATCGACTGATTCTTGTAGTACGCCAAATTCAAGCTATTTACTCGGGTTAGGACAGTTCCAGTTCAGTTCTTTTGAATGAAAACTGTACCAGTTCGCGTTCAACAAGAACTGAAGTGGTAACCAGTTCTTTCGATCAGTTCTTAGAAACTAGACCTGTCCCACCCGTACTCTTTACAACAATCTCTCATGACATTCGGTGACATATATAAATGAAACAACAACAACAAGGCATCCATCTTTGCCACACGTTGACTGAATGAAATCCTTTTGAAAAGAGACAACCATGGTTCAAGGTGCGGTAAGCATCCTTCGAATATACCGTCTCTTGTGGTATCAGATCAACCACTGACCCGGCGCAGATCCCTATCCGAACAAATGCGAGATCATTTTTGCCTTCTTCTGCATAAGTGAGATCTTTTCTAACTTTCTTATTAGATAAGAGGTGTAACCGGTACTGGTACCGGTATGAATTATAAGGCCGACTGGTATACCGGCATGAATTATACCGTAGTAATTTCTGACATTTTAAACAAGATTGAATATAATTTTTAATAGTTGTTTTCATCTCTGGCCACCAGTATTTACCTTTTAAGTTAAAATAAGTTCTACGAAAACCAAAATGACCAGCCCCTGGTGCATCGTGATAAGCCTTTAATAATTGTTGTAATATTATAGAAGGTACATAAATCAGTTTTTGCGTAAACGCATCACGATTAAATAATGTGTATAAAATTCCATCATTCAGTATATAAGAACATTTAGTTAAATCCTTTTAAAGTTCCAAAACTTTTTCTTGATATAATTTATCTACCTTTTGAGCTTCAGCAATAGCTAGAACATCAAATTCATGACCTTCCTCTTGAAGAGGTTGATCATCTAACGATGATGTTTCTTCAATAGAAGTGTCAGAATGTGTCGAACTTATTGGACAAACTGATGCTTTTGTTTGAGCTTTCGTTGTGACTGCACCTAAAGCGTGAGGAATAACTGGAACCTAATCCTTTGAATTTTTTCTAACCACTTGCTGCTTCTTTAACTTAATTGGTAATTCTTTCAATTGGTGTTGACCTTGACTATGTATAACTAAACGATGGATATTTTTTTTATTAATTGGTGGTAAAGGTTGGGCTTGATCTTCGTCCAATATTTTTTATTATTTATTAAAACTTTTTTTTCGCAGATTTTTTCGCAGATTCCCATTTTCCCATGTCATAGACGTACCGAAAAATGTCTCCATAGGCATAGAGTAGTTTCTAACAAACGACAATAACTCGTAGGGAAAAAACTGCAAACAGAAAACACTTTCGCTAATAGCGTTTCTTGTGTTCGATTATGAAAAGCAAAAACGTATTTTTTATATCATCTATGAATTTCTTTAACTCTTACTTTGACGAAGAAAAAACTTTATCAACCACTATGAAATAACTAACATCAATACGGGTAACAAAGAAATGTTAAGTGTATTATCAAACAAACAACAACGTAGGATAAGATAATGTAACTCATCATGTAAGAAGTACACACATACCTTCACAAAATATTATTATATGTGCTTTTTCGTTAACAGAAGTCAAGATTCAACGTGCCAAATAATAATCTATATTATTCTACAGATTTCACATGCTTTGTGATTTGTTGATATTATTAGAAACCTTTAGAATGTTCGCTATATCAGAAATGAATACTATCAGTTAGTCAGCATGGCTTAGAGTCTGTTGATGTTGGTGGGCGTGAGTGTATGAATGGGTATGTCTAAATGTTGGCAAGCATAAAGGACTAAGTGATGAACTTATGACATCCATTTATGAGCAAGGTTGAGCACCATACGATTTGGAATCATTCAAGATTTTATTACAACATGTGTCACATCTATCAATACTGTTGCTCGATCCTATGACATCATATCCAAAAGTGTTAGCTCAACTTGTTGGTTGTTTTTTCATTAAAATTTCGTCGTTGACTTTGGTTTTCTTCCGGGATATTCGAGGCTTTATGGTGAGAAAATCAGCTCTTAACTCGTTACAGTTTTGTCAGGAGAGGGGCATAAGGGGTGGGACAAACTGTATGTCACACACCAGTAAATGTCATCAAGATGTAAATTATTCGAAAATGACAAAAGGTAATAACTTTTGGTTTTTAGCAGTCGACAGTGACCATTTCGATAAATCTTTTTATGAAGACAGATTTGACTTGAAGTGTTTGTTAGCTTCATACTAGACTCAAAAGAGATGGGACACATTTTTTTCTGTTTTCTGGAACCATTGACAGAATGTCAAATTTCTCTGATACGACTTCGGCCAAAGTGAAAGTACGGTTATCAGAGATAGAGCATTCAAAAACGACATAAGGAAGCTAATTAAACACGGTTTACTTTCTTGGGTTGAAATTAAAAAAAAGGAAAGAAGAAAAGACAACTGTAAGGGACAATATTATAAAAACACGTGAAATAGGCGAAAAAGAATAGTTTCTTTTTTTCGCCATTCAGAAACCATAAGAAATAGAAATCTGATTTTGGCAGCATAAATAGAGCATGATTGATAGATACTTCAGTATTCAGTTTGATCCATTTGAGTGTATAAGAGCTGAGATATAGAGAAGGCCACTTTTGATAGTCAAACAGTACAATAGACACCAAAATCACTCATATATTTTCATTTTAATAAAAAACTTTAATTTTTTTCAAAAAAATCCGTCCCCAAAGGGTTAATTCACCGCTTCAATTCCTTTTTTTTCTTTCTTCTGAAAGCCTTTTCATTTATTGGGTAGAAAAAATTGTGCAGTAGTCAGAAGAAGGAAATTTCTTATCTCATGTATCGAGATGCACACACCGAATAGAATATTTAAGAGAAAAACACGAACGAAAGAATGGACGATAACATTAATATCATTTACATACTTTCTTGTTTTGTCAGTAGTTACGAAGCCTCTTCTTTTCGTTCATTTTTTGCGAAATTTCTGATCCATGTTTTTTCCAACCTTCGTCATTAATCTTTCAGTGTCTTCCTTTACTGAGCAGGGATGGCATTTTATCTTTATTTGTTCTGAAAAAGTAAGGTAAAGTGAATTATAATGCTTTAAGTTTATCGTTCATTCACGAGCTAAGCATCAGTCATTGATAATGGTGCAGGATATCAAAATATTTTCCAAAACATTTGCTCATAAAATCAGTGAAATATGTATATTTTCTTTTCCATTGATTGCACACTGTTATTTTCGGAATGTTGATACGATTTCAGAGATGAATTTAGTTTTAATTTTTTGCAGGAAATCAAATTGAATTTTTATTATTCAGAAAATCAAACATTTTCTAAATTATTTAAAGTCGCATTTTCAGAAAATAAAAAAAAAAAAAAAAATTACAATGTATGGCGTTGGGCTAGTGGATGAGTAATAAACTTAAAGTATTGTAATTCACTTTACTTTATATGCTAAAATAAAGATAAAGTGCCACCTCTCTAGCTAAGTCAACATTCCGAAAAATAATATCCGTAACAACTGTAAAATCTTCGCATTTGTGTTGTTGCTTAATGCTTAATTATGATATTTATTCTTTATATTATCATTTAAACGCATTCGAGACTTTTATTTAAGAATATAATGAAAAAAATAACATACGATATGATCTCTCTCTTTGTCTAAACAACAGTCGTCCTCACAATTTTATCTTAACTAACAGTTAGCAATTCAAAACAACATGAGCGATCACAAATTGAAACAAAATATTTTCACATCAACAGCATCATCTAACACCACTCATCCTAGACAACGTATTGTGCAAAATTACCTGTTGATATGGATTGATGCCGACATCGCTCAATCAAACAAAGATTATCAAAACACATTGGAACAGCTACAAAACGTCGTCAATGATGTCAACATCTTTACTGAGCCGGATAAATGCATCGACTTTCTCATCGGTATCAAAGATATGAAAGCTTTCTTGGTTGCAGACAGTATTTTTGGTCAGCAAATAATATCGCTCATTCATGATATTCCTCAACTTGATGCCATTTGGATCTTATGTAGAAATAAATCTCAACATGAGGAATGGACGAGAAAATGGCTCAAAATCAAGGGTGTGTATACAGAAATAAAGCCCATCTGCAAAGCATTACAACTGGCAGCAAAACAATGCAATAACGATTCTATTGCCATGAGTTTTATTTCAGTAGACGAGGTGGTATCCAGTGAAAATCTGAATCAACTGGAACCATCATTCATGTACACCCAGATATTTAAAGAAATTTTCCTTGAAATGAAATATGATGCACAAGCCATCAAAACTTTAGCAGGTTACTGGCGTGAACTTTACAACGGCAATATGAACCAGCTAAACATTATTAATGAATTTAAACGTAATTATCGTCCGGAAAGGTCCATCTGGTGGTATACACGTGAATGTTTTACCTATGAAATACTAAATCGAGCACTTCGTAATTTGGAAGGGGATACCATTATTAATATGGGCTTCTTCATTCATGATTTACATCGACAAATTGAACAATTACACAAAGAACAGGTCAGTAGTTATTGTGGGAAGTCCTTCGTAGTTTATCGGGGACAAACTTTACTGACTGTGGCTTATGAAAAACTCCGAAAGACAAGAGGTGGGCTAGTGTCCTTTAACAACTTCTTGTCCACCAGTAAAAGTCGAGAAGTTTCTCTCGTCTTTGCTGAAAGTACCTTAGGAAAGACTGATACAGTTGGTATTCTCTTTCAAATAACCATTGATCCCTCCGTCACGTCAACTCTATTCGCTGACATTCAGAGTGTTAGTTATTTTGAAATAGAAGAAGAAATTCTCTTCTCTATGCACGCGGTGTTTCGCATTGGTGAAATTACCAGGATTGACGACGACAACCCACTTTATCAAGTGGCTCTTAAACTAACGGCTGATGACGATGAACAACTTCGC